GATCAGGCTGGAGACGAGCAGCCCTCATCTAGGATGAGAATCCTAGATGGCTACTTAGGTGAGAAGGGGTAACACTTATGAGTCCAAGGAAGCAGATCTACTAAACCTCAACAGCAGCAGCTCCAGACTTTGTGGTCCCAGGACCCTTTGACAAACTGATAACCTAAAGCAATTTCTGATTACATTGGTTGTAACTATCAACATCTATGTATTAACAGTTAAACTGGGAAATTCTAAAACATAACCACACATGCCATATGCCATCAGAGCAATGTCACCACATATCATGTACCTTTTGGAGAACTTTACTGTATACATGTTAAAGTATGAGAGTGAAAGGGAAATAATTCTTAGCATTGTTATGAAAATGTTGTCTCTTCACAATCCCTCTGAAAGGGTCTCAGAGACCCACAGGTCTCCCCAGAATACACTTTGAGAAGATTGTCTATTCTAGAATATAACTGATATAGAAGTTTAGCAGATGGAAATACTCAGTTGGTTGATTTAATTTTCCATCCCAGAGATAAGCTTCATAATAAATAGCACAAACACCAACAATATTCCATTTAAATTTTTTAATATAATGCCCCAAATGTTAACTTCTAATATGTATGTGTAATCACTCTTCAGAAAGAAATTTGTTAATGTTAAACTCAATTCTTGTTTTAAGTGTCAGTAAGACATGAGAAAGACATAAATTATTGAAAACTATAGAATCTGTTATGATCAAATACAAGAAGACTCCCCCTTCATTCACTGACTAAAACAGATGGAGAATTTCAATTGATTCAAAGTAGGTCGGGTAATTTTTTAATATATTTTGTGTTTGTGAATGTACGAGCACATGTCTAATTCAAACAAAAAAAAAACATTATACCTGGTTACTTACATAGTAGTAGAGTTAATTTGATTGGGCCACATAGACACTCAGACCAGGGTAATGACATTAAAGGGTTTGGAAGAAAATATGCACATCTTAAGACTCATAAATGTTATCTAGAAGCATGAGCACTTTCTAAAAATGGCCAATACACATCAATGTCAAAATCACAATGAGTGAAAAATCTGGATTTATCTCCCCAGAGATCAACTGCCTAACAACACACACACACACACACACACACACACACACACACACACACACAGATAACAAAGGGAAAATGTCAGGAGGACCTTAGTCATATTTGAATTTTTACTTTATATTTAATTATAAAATAGGGTAATCCATGAACAAATGTATTTGCCAAAAGAAAAAGACATAAATGCAACAGTATTCTGAGTGTAAATACGTCCTTGGCGGCAAACAAATGCTAAATTACATATAGCCTCTGTTCCTCCCAACTGAACAAATGCATGAATGTAATGCAAATCTAAGAAATCAAAGGGAAAATACCCATTTGCAAAACTTAAGGAAAGATCATCTCCCTCTAATTCCAACTGCTTTGGCCGTTCAACACTGTGCTAATAAGGTTGCATAGAATTTCTCAAAATCACTCTTTTTTCTTAAATACAAAAATCAGTTTTCTTTACTGATTTCTATGCAAAAATGCCCCACTTCTAACAGTAATTGTCACTCCTAGTTGGCAGCCCTTTTCAAAGAGAGTTCCAACCAGCAGTAAAAGTGGTCCAAGTGAAATCTAAAAAACAATTTAGTTTACCATTGTGTTATTTGCCTAACTTCAATCATTTTGATTTTAACATTTTTATCTTCTACTTAGGATTTCCTTGGTTATAACTCACCAAGGATCCAAAGGAAAACCAAGTCCATGAAAAATTTGCCTTTCCTGTTACTAGAAAAAATGCCAGGCACAGTGGCCAGAGTCAGTAAGTCTCATACTCCCTATCATTCCCGTGGAAAGAATATTTAAACCTCCAAAATGCAAAATCGTTATTAAGAAAGTCATTTCTAAAAGACATTCCATTCATGTCTTGGAGAAAAGCTCTCAGTCTGAAAGATAATCACAGCAAGCAACTAAAAATGAGACATCAAAAGCATTTACCCATCAGGCAAATCACATGCTGGCTTACCACTCTTCAGGACAGGGATGCCTGATGTAGCCTAAAGGTCTATCTAAAAAAATGTAAATAGTTCACATAAACCTTTATACTAATCATTTCTTCTGCGGTGAGTTTATACATACACCAGTCAACCATAAACACCAATGGAAATGGTTATTGAGTATTAAGTGATAAAGAACTGTTATGGAATGGCATTCAAGCACTCTGACACACTCACCTTCAGCTAAAGACAGCACAATACACTGACAGACACAGTTCTAATGACATCAGGACCTGTGGAATGTATGACTGCTAGGAAACACATGCTGCTAGGAAACAAAGAACAGATTTTATCAAATCTTCTAAGGTAAGGACAGGGAATTGCTGTGATTAGATCTTCTAAAATGAGAGGCCAAATATTCTTCAAGCTTCAGAAATGTTTGCAAGTGTAAAGGCTTTAACATGTACCCTCTAGAAAAGAAAGAAATATAGGAATCTAGATTTGCATGAATTAAATCACAATTCTCTAACTTTTCTATTAAGATAACCATCACTAGCAACATCATATAAAAAAATGCAACCTCATCAAAATCAGGCACCAATGATTAGAATTCCTTTTCATTTTTTGGCAATCTAAGCTTTTTCTAGAAGTCAAGATCCTAAAAAAAGAAGAAATCTAGAAATTATAGTACCTAAAAACAAAATATCCTTTTAAATTTACTGTGCTACACTTTTTAAAACAGAATGGAACATAGCCATTTGTGACCAACACAAAAGCAGAACTAATCTGCAACTAATGGGTTTAATATCTTAATCATTGAAACTGAAAAACAGTTTAGCTTTTAAACTTTTTAGAACCGTTTAACTTGGTACATTTTTAACCCTTGCTTTGGTTGAAAGAAAGAAAAAGAAAACTGGGTGAAACAAAGATCAGAGATTTCAACACACATATCCTTTTAAACTCCTATACAAATTAACTAGAAATGTCTTTTGGTGATAGTACAAAAGTGTCAATTCTGTAATTCACATACAGACAAAATTGGAAGCCAGAACTCCAGATCATTTAGTACCATTACAAACTGGAAAATATACCAGGAAACTGGCTAAATTCTGTTTTACCTCCTAGGGAAATGGAGACCATTCCCAAAATGAAGAATTACTAAGTGTTTCTCTGTAGATGCTACTATGACATTCTTTAACTAGCGTTGATAGGCCATATGACAGTAAATTAGAAGACCGCCTATTTACTTCACAGCAAAACACAATTTTTTCTTCCTGCCAGGATCCATGGTATCATTTCCCCAGCAGCTGGCTGGAAGGATGTAAAATCAGAGGTGCAAGAGGCTTATACTTCCTAATGAGTGATCTACCCAGGGAAGTAAACACAACAAACACCACTGAGTTTGGCACTAAAGGAGACTGGCAGGGCTGCTTACACAGTTGTTTACAATGTGCTCCAACTACCGCAGACAGGATCACACACAGGCACAGGCAGGAGACACCCAGAGGTAGCTCACACGCCTCGAGTTCTCCCAATTGCTGTAATATCTCTGACCATAAATACAGCGCGCACGTTTCGATCGCAGCGAGGAAAGTGGCCAGAGAATTCCAGGGACCAGAGGTTATGCTGGCTTGACTCAGTTTTTCAATCTGCCGGAGAGACGACTGCTCTATCCTATGTCTCATCACAGCCAATCCGAGGTGCGTCGAGCGCTGCGCCAGAGACTCACCCGCCGCACGCATCTAGCGGATTTGCTCTTCAATGAGAAGAGGGGACACCGAGAGGCTTCTTCGCTCCCTACTGGGCCCCCCGCGGCCCCTTCAAACCAGATTTTCCAGTTAAGCGGATCCCAGGCGATTTCGATAAGCAAGCTCTGCTCAAGTAGCATCAGCTCTGCTATCCCCGCAAATATCTCGCGGCCATCCCCGGAGCGCGTACAAACACGCTCACACAGACAAGCACACGCCGACCCCGCCACCAACTAACCCCGATAACGGAGGTCGCCTCCACTCTATGCGCGCGCGACACACACACACACACACACACACACACACACACACACACCCCTATACTGCCAGGGGGATCTGGCACTCTTAGCCGTGGAGCTCCTACTTGGGACCAGAGGCGGAGGTGCGGTAGCCCCGACGCTTCGCTGTAGCCCAGAGCTTCCCCTTCTCCCGGGAGAAGCTCCGGGGTGCCTGCCCTCCTACCTGTAACTCAGCCGTCCGCGGCCACCAACGCTCTGCCCACCCCTCCCCGGCGCCCTGGCCGTCTCGATTCGTGCAACACCGTCCCCCGCCCCATGCCCATTTCCAACACCGCGCCGCCCCGTGCCACCCACGAGAGTGGCAGCTTTCTCCAGCCAGAACCGCCTAACAAAGCCTGGGCAAGCAGGTTTAAACCAAACTGCCATGAAGGGGACACGACGCGCGGGGTGCGAGGCAGCGCGGTTCCACGTCTCGGGGGCGCGACCTGAGCAAACGCGGCCCCCGTGGATGCTCCAGGAAGGCGTCCAGGCAGGTTCGCGGCGGGCTCGCCGCCCCGCAGTCCCCATCGCCCCAGAGCCCGGCTCCTCACCAGGTGCCGGTCGGTGATCCAGCCCTCTCCCAGCTCTCAGCCGGCGGAGAGAAGGCGCCCCCTGGGCTGCTTTCAGCCCCCAGCAGGGGATGACACTAGGGTAAGAGAGGAGGGAAAATTCCCCGGGAGGAAACCGTTCCTATTCCCCAGCTTGTTGGAACTGCGAATGCGCTGAGTCTGCTCTCCCCTTCATCCCTCTCGGCCGCCAAATCGCCCAACAGCTGTAAAAACCTCGAACCCGTGCCAAACCCCAGCGCCCACCAGCCAGGAAGTCCCCTTCCCGCCGCTCATCACGATGAGTGTGTGCGAGCGTCAGGGTGAGTGTGCGTGAACCCGCACCCTCTCGCTTGCCCGCCGGGCGGCCGCCGCTGCCCGCGCCGGGCCAGGGCCACCACTATTAGGAAGAGCGAGAAGAATAAATTACCTTGCGTAACCGCTGGTCCCCGATTTCGTCCCATCAGTTTCAACAACCTGCAGCCGGGTGCAGTTTCCACAATCCAGCCATGGAGCCTGGGGCAGAGGACCGACCGCCCCAGGAAGACACCCCAACACACGCGGCCGAGAATGATACCCAAAGCGCGGAGAAGGCAGCAGGCGGGTGGAGACCCCAGCTGAGGAACAACAAAAGTCTCTCCTTCCCCCTTTCTTCTGCTACACGGCCATGGAGAACGGGGAAGGAGAAAAAAAGAACTGAATGCTTGTCTTCCTTGACGTTTCCGCGCTTCGCACACACTAACGGGGTGAAAGCGGGGCGATGGGAGAGGAGGGCTCAAACGTCTCTCCCAGTACACAGTTGCACAACTTCGGAGTCAGGCGCGGTCTCCCGCAGCAGCCGAGGGACCCGAGCGGCAGCGATTAACATGCGGCGGTCGTCGCAGGGGCCGCTTCTCCTCCTCCTGCTGCCGCCTAAGCAGAGACGCTGCCGAAGAGACCAAAAATCTTCCACCATCCCCCCAGCCGATCTTTATATCCAGTTCTCCCACCCCACCCCCTTCTCTTTCTTTTTCTTCTTCCTCGTCCTCCCCTTTCCGCCGGGGTGGGAGCGATGGAATAGGTAGGGGCGGCCGCGAGGGCCAGGGGTGGCTGCCCCGCCGCCAAGCCCTGCTCCTCCTTCTCCTCCCGAGGTTCTCTCTCCGCCGCGGGGCTCTTCTGGCGCCCGCAACCTGCACCGAGGGCCCAGCAAACTCCTTTCCGGGTGCACAGCGGCGGCGCGCGGGTGGAGAGGGCGCCGGGCCGCGGAGAGCTGCGCCCCGGGGGCCGCGGAGCCCCGAGCCCGGGGGGTGGCTGACTAGCTAGCCGGCCGGGCCAGGCAGCTGAGGGCATGTGGGAGCTTCATCGCGCGGCCCCGGGCTCGCGCCGCCGCCGCCGCCGCCTCGGGTCTTTCTCTTCCTCGACTCCCCGAGAGCGAGCGAGGCTCTGGCGCTCTCCAGACACGCACGCTCACACACGCGCACACAAGAGCGAGCTCCTGCCGAAGCGAACCGTGCCACCCGCGCGCGCGCACACCGGGCGAGAGAGGACGGAGGCGAAAAGAGAAGAAAGAAAGGGGAGGGGGCGAGTCACAGGCGGCAGCTGCGGCAGCTGCCGGAGCCCGGGCAGCGAGCAGTCCGGGAAGAGCCGGCTGCGGCGGCGGCGCCCTCCCGGGCCGGCGGCAACATCTGCATTCCCGCTCAGGGAACCGGGGCGAGCGGCGCCGGGCGAGCTGGCGACAGGGCGCAGCGCCGAGAGCCGTTCGGAGCGCGGGCGCTTCGGGGCCGTGCAGCCTGCGCGCGACGGACGCAGCCGGGGCCGTGTCGAGGCCAGAATGAGCCGCGGGCGGGCGGGCGGGCAAGCGCCCGGAGCGCCGAGAGCCGGGGAGGAGGCTCGCGCCGGGGGAAGGGGGTGGCCGGCAAAACCCGGATCTGGAGTGCGCGCGGGCTCCGCCGCGCGGGCTCCACCTAGCAGCTCGGCGAACGCTGGAGGTGGGAACGGGAGGGCTGATGTAAGAGGCTTCCCTTTCGGGGCTTGTCTAACAAAGGGTACCTCTCCTCCCGGCTCTGAGGCACGCGTCTCCCTCCCTATCTTCCCTTTTCTCTCTGTCAACCCACTTCCCTTCCTCCCTGCGCTTTCCTCTTCCTCCCCTATTCCACCCCAGGGGAGTAAAAGACTCCAGATTGGAGGTCCTGCCAAGTGTCTCTTTTTTCCAGGTGCAGATTATTGCATATTTTCATTATTCAGGTACCGAGTCCCAATGCGTTTTCTGCCTTTGGTCCATTTTATGTTCCTTCAAACTTACCTCAAAGTGCAAGTTCGTTGCAGACTTTAAAGTATCATTCTCTGATAATCACATGTGGGGATTCAATGATTTTATTTCACATAATCAGTAAAAACTACCGTTATGGATATGAAAGATGCCGGTTTCCAAAGCAATGCTTCCTAGTAGAGGAAAAATGTGTTCCAGTTAACTGAGTGACCTTGGTCAATTACTGGACCCCTTTACGTCTTCTTGTAAATGAGAGGGTTAAGCAGATAATTTCTAAAGTCCTCTGCTCTAAAATTTCATGATTTGAAAAGATAAGGTGTTATTTTCTGTATCAGCAAGTTCAGTTTACCACTATGAGGGAAACTGATGTACTATTCGCATCCAGCTACCAGCACATTATACCCAAATTGTATTTGAATGTATATATTCAGAATGATCTAATGCCCACCCAGCGCTCTTAGGAAAGGTAACATCAGCCCCAGAGCATCTGAAGAACCTAAAACTTCATTAGAATTAGTAGGTCACACACAAAACAAGTGACTATCAAAGTCTCATTCATTCTTCAAAACTCAATCCCAGTGCCAACTGCTTCAAGAAGACTTTTTTCACCAATCCCAATCAAAATAATCAACCCTTCCATTATATTCCCATAGCACTTTGATGGGATCTCTACCATCAATAATGCCTATTTCATTCTGCCCTTTTTCTTGTTCTTCTAAAATAATTAGATGTTTGTCTATATACCTCCTCAGATTATAGAATCTTCCTTGAATGCAAATTCCAAAATTTAATCATCTAACATAAGATTACTATGTACCCACAGGACTTTGCATATTGCAATTCCTTAAAAAAAGAAAATAGGAGAAGGATTTAATGATTTTGTTGAATTCTGAACTAAATGTTCACAGGGTCAAGTTACGGTACTTGGATTTGCATAATATGGGGCATCCATGAACTCGTCTGAGCACTTAAAAAATAAACTGACATCTGGAATCACTTGTTGAACTTAAATAATTTTGGAAAGAGTACAATCTAGTCAGTTGTGACAAGAGGCTCTTGTAAAAGAGACAATTGTAAGGGAGGCAAAATGGAAACTACTCTGTTCATCTCCCAAATGAATATATGTATAAAGTAATAAAACAATAGAATATGGAATGAAAGTTGCTGCATAGATATTAAATGTTGTTAGTGGTAGCAGCATAAATCTAAATAAAAAGTGCCTAGAGGCCAATTTTTAAAATCAACCTAATCACAACTTGACAGGTCTGGAAGAAAATGGAAAAAACAACGAAATTTCAAGATGAAATTATTTTCAAAATATGAAACATTAACTGAAAAGTAAACATCTTAAGTTAAATAAGTAATTAAATATGAAACATATTAACTGAGAGGTAAGCATATTAAGTTAAATAAGTAATTGAAAAATCAAAGATGAGTTGACCATAAAAAAGCAAAACTACAAACAGAACAATGAGGGAGAATAAAGCAAAACAGAAAAAAATCAGTGAGAAAAAAAAATGATGGTTAAAAGAAAGCAGGGGAAGGAAGAAAATAGGTTAATTGTTTATACACTTTAATCAAATGTCAATGCAGCAATTTTTACAGCAGCTACCTGTATTTTAGACTCAAACTTCATGCTTCCTAGTCATTTTTAATCTGATGGCATAGTCTTCTATATTTGATTTAAAATATAAAGTGTCCCACTCCATTGCCAGGAAATCCATGATTCTTGCCAATATTTTTCTAAAGTGAACTGTCCACAAAAATAAAATCAAGTAAATCCCATGTTGCCTTTGCTGCACAACTATATTTAACTATATATTTAATACCTTGTTGCCTTTTGCTACACAACTCTGTTACCACAGATGATATAGAGCAAAGATCCTATTGTACACTGTAGCTCTGTGTGCTAGAGTGGTTTTAGAATGAGATGGCACTATTGGCTTCAATTCCATGAAAACTGAAAAAAATAAAGCTATATTACTAAGTGGAAAAGATCCGCCCATATTTAAAACATTGAATATCCAATCAGACAGAATAACCAAAATTAAAGTTGTTTAATAACTCTTATAATTTCCTGACCAAAGGACTCTTCAAATTCAAATTAATAAGAACTACACTAAGATCTCCAATAGCATAAAAGTTAGGAAAAGAACATGGACAATCTGTTTACAAAATAAATACAAATAGCCAAAAAATGTATATCCATACATACATATATGTTCTGCCTATACAAATCAAATGCATAAAACTATATACAATTACCAGATCCATCCTGTTTTCATATTTGTCCATCAAATCAGCTGAAAAGTAACAGTGCCCTACTATTTATCCCTATGCTAGTTGCTAGTGATGTGTACACTGACATAGTTTTTCTGGAAACAAAATTGTCATATATATATATATGTCTCTAATCCAGTGTTTCTGTTTGCAGCTATCACTTCTACAGAAATAAACAGAGGTGTAAAGACACACATCTCAGTCATAATTGTTATGTCTGCGGAGGTGAGTATTTAAGATATATATGTATCAGAGTGATCTCATGTTTTCATACTCAGGAAAAGCCCTCTTATCTGATTCAAATTGGTAGTTACTCAGTTAGTGGGGAAAAAGTTGTTTGAAGCAAAAAATATTTTTAGAATTATCCATACATTCTATGTTAGTAGGATTCATTTTGTCTGTGAGCAACAGAAACTCAGAGCAGTAGTAAAGCCCAGCAAATAAACAAGACAGCAGTTTGTTTCTTGTTTGGTGATCCAGGGCTGTTGGTGATCCAGGGCTGATACGACCCTCCAAAGCATCCCATAGTGAAACAGATACCTTTTTTATCTTCATGCTTAGCCACCTGTGGTCTTTATTCCTAATTCTAGTTCTGGCAATCATGCCTATACTTCAGGAGCAGAGAAGAGAAAGGCATACTCACCCAAGGACATTTCCCTAAAGTTGCACACACCATTTCACATTTTAGTTCATCCTCAGAAATGGTGTGATGGTAACACTCAGCTACAAGGCTAATAGAAAATGTTGACTATTACAGGCATTCAGGTGTTCAACTGAAAATCAGGATTCTTTCATGATTTAGCTCTTCTTCAGCAACTTAACATCATACACTACTCTGTGCTAAGCTTTGCGTCCATTAGATTTTCAGTAATCGAATGCAGACACTAGATAACGCCACTTTCACATGAAAGGACCTTCTACTTCAACCAGATAAAAGCTTTCACAAGACTTCAAATTACTGAGCTTCTGCCATT